ATTTTTCCAACAATTTTTTATGACATACAGTGTCAAAGGCTTTTGAGAGGTCGAGAAAGAGACATGTTTTTTAAAGTTACTAAGATTATAAATTTTTTGGGTAGCTACTGGTTCAATATCACACTGTTCAATAAATTGGTCCATTTTTTACATAAAATATAATTACAATATTACTACTTAATTATTTACCAATATAAAAACTATTGAAAACATAAACGAAAATAATATTTTTTATTTTTGCCTTTTAGTACTCCTGGTACTCACTGGACTAAACTTAGCTTTCTGTTGTTTTCTTTTCTTTGAACCAGTACTCTTTTCAGTTTCTTCCTCTTCTACTTCTTCTTCTTCAAAATCGCTTTCCTCTTCACTTTTTTGTTTCTCTTCTAATTGTTCCACCGAATAAAATTTACCATCAACAATTAGTTTCAGCCCCTTAATTTTGGCATCAAAATTTTGTATTCGAGCCGCTTTTTGGTGTTTTCGCACTGATACTTTTAACTGGTTTGGGAATTTACCTTGATTTATTGATTTATTAATTAAAAAATGTTAGTACCGGTGCTATATCTTTACCTACCAATTTAAGAATTTCTGAACGAATTCCATCTAACCCTGGTGTTTTTTGTTTTTTAAATTCATAATAGTTTCATATACTTCCTTTGTATCAGTTTCAGCTAGGAAAATCGTTTGACAAATTTTTTTTTGGTTGATCCTATTTTGTGTTTGTCGCTTACTTTTGATTTTTGTTGCCATTTTTTCTCCTACCTCAGTATAGTGTTCACAGAAAATATTAGCAATTTCTTTAGGGTTATCTATTACGGTGCCATCTGGTGCTATTATTTCTGATATTGGTTTTTTGCGTTTCTTTAAACTTGTGATTTCCGTAACACATTCCCATAACTTTTTGCTTAAGTTTTTATTATTTTTAATTTGATTATTATAGTAATTAGTTTTTGCTTGTTTTATCAGTAATATAGGGATATGGATAAGATAAGATGGATGACGTATTTCAATTTGAAACATGGTGCTCAAGGAGTGATCTCTTAGGCTAAAAATGGCCAGTCATCTTAGAATTTTTAAATGGAACGCAAATAGACTGCTGCAGCATCAACAAGAGCTACAAACAGTAATTAGAAAAAATTGATGTCTGTCTGTTTGCTGAGATACATTTCACAAAAGAGTTGTTCATTAAATTAAAAGGATATAAAGTGTACCATACAATCTATCCAGATAATGAGGCAAAAGACGAAAGTGCAGTTATAATTAAGAAATCCATTTTGCAATATCAAGAAATGGGTTATCAAACAGTAGAAATACAGGTCTGTTAATATTAAAACAAAATTTTATGAAATTATGATCAAAACTTTATATAGCCCACCAAGACATGCGATAAAGAAGCATCGATACGTTGACTTTCTGGACGTTCATAGAGCGAGAAACTTTTATCCAAAACATACTCACTGGGAATCTAGATTGACAACAACCAAAAGTAGAGAATTATTAGCATCAGGTCATCAACATAAATATCAAACAATGTCAGCTGGAAAGCCTACATACTGGCCCACAGAAACTAGCCGACAATGGCACTGGAAAGAACTAATTGATCTCTCGATTCCATTAAGAACAATGAGACCAAGAAGTTGAACTTTTTGTCAAAAATATTTAACATGCAGCGTAGGAAAACACTCCTAAGATTAAATGTAGAGTGCTAGATAATAATTATCCAAAAGGGTTCAGAAATCTTATCTCAGAAAAAAAAAATTAGAAGCAAATGGCAACAGTTTAGAGCACCAAACAATGCAACACAACAGCTAAAACGTGAAATACGGCTCATTTAAAATAAGTCGATTGGCGAATACTTAAAGTGAATTAACTAACGATAAAATTACCGATTATTCACTCAAAAGCTACCAAAAGATTAAAGAAGCCTACTATACATAACCCACCAATCAGAAGGAAAGATAGAAACTGGACCTGAAACAATTTTGAAAAATCGAACAGATTTGGGGAATATAAAACTGCATAAGAAGACATAGTTGTTAAACCTACCTTTCCAAAAGAAGTTGATAACCCACCAATCAGAAGTAGAGATAAAAGCTGGGCTCGAAACAATTTGCAAAAAGCAAAAGATTTGTGGAACATTTAAAAAGTACCATTCAAGCCAATAGTGGTAAATAACTTCAAGACTGGATGGAACTAGCACAAGAAAACAGTCGTTAAAACTACTTCTCCAAAAGAAGTTTATATAGAAATCCAAACAAATATAAGTTCGAAAAAAGTCGCTGGATTTGACCTCATTACTGGGGAAATTTTGAAAATGCTTTTTCGGAAATTTATTGTCAAAATGATCAATCTTATCAATGTGTAATTTAGACTAAAGTACGTACCAAAGATGTAGAATGTGGCAGAAGTTATAATGATATTCAAGCCAGGTAAACTACGACCTATCATCTCGAAATTCTATGAAAAATTGCTTCCTAAGAGACTGAACCTATATACCTAATACCCTCCCACCAGTTTGGCGTCAGAGAAAAACACTTGACCATCAACCAAGTTCATAGAATCTCAGATATTATCGTGCAGTCTCTAGAAGAAAAAGTTTGCTCCACCGTCTTTTTGAAAATGGCTCAGGCTTTTGACAAAGTATGGTATGAAGGTTTGATTCAAAAACTGAACATGTTCCTACCATGTCAATACTCTGAACTAATAAAATGCTTTTTATCAGAAAGGTATTTTAAAATTAAATAGGAGAAAGCCTATTCAAACCTAAGGGTACTCTGCTTGTTGTATCCAGAGATATTCCTAATCTTGAGCCAAATACTATCGCAACATTTGCTGTTGATACTGCACTCCTAGCTGCGTTTGTTCTGGTAGTTAAGGTTTTTTAATATTGATTGATGTATGAAATAATTTTTTGATTAAGGTATTACGAAAATACATTCAAGTTTTCTTTTTCCGAAATAGCAGATTTAATACTGGACAAAAATATGGCTATTAAAATTGAATAAAAGCCAAATATGTCCATATAAAATTTAGAAATAAACAAAATTAATTAGAATAAACAACACTCAGCAAAATATCCATATAAAAACGAAACGTGAAGAGCTTGCTATAAAATACAAAAGTATGTATTAATTGTTAGGAAAAAATTTAAAATTATCCACATACAACAAACTGCTTCTTTACAGGCAGATAGTGAAACTCGTATGGACGTATGGTATCCAGCTTTAAGGCGAAGCTAGTAAGAGTAATATCTTAGTTATTCAACATTTTTACAATAAAGTATTAAGGACCATCGTCGATACACCCTGGTACTGCCGAAATACTGATCTTCTTAGGGACATCAAAGGACTGTTGAAAATATAATAGCAAAAAGATGCCAGTAGTCACCTACAACGGCTGCTCCAACATGGGAACGTTGAAGTTATCCAACAATGCCAAGTTAATAAAAAGACTAGAGAACCAAGCCTTTGAAAAAAAAAATGTTACACTTGTTGTTGTCTTACTCTTCCCCACCCGCGCGTAAAGTAGCGTGCGTGAATTGTCACTTTATAATGTTTCAGAATAAATATACACACATCTCCAAAAGTCTTGGCCCCCCTGGGTATTTTTAAAACTATTTAAATAAAATTTGGAAAATATGATGAATCTTATTCTTTGTTTAAATACCAAAGTATACACAATCTTTGTAATTTGCTTTAAAAATAATGCAGAATAAAGGAATTTACAAAAAAAGGTCCAAAAATTTTTAGTAAGAAAATGTTATAACATACCAAAAATATAACTTAATAGTGTATTATGGCCCCTACTTTTAATCAATTGGCCAACGTGTCACGGCATTCCGCGGATCAGGTTATTAATTAAATGATCAGGTATATTTTCCCACTCTTCTTGAATAGCTACAATCAAGTCCTTAAAGGTTTAAGGGAGGTTTTCTTCATTGGATATTGCCCTGCCAATATAATCTCGTACATATTCAATGGGATTTATTTCTAGTGAGTTTAGCAGCCATTCATTCTTTGGATATTTTCTTCCTATAACACGATACGATACCTTTGCGTGCGATGCGATCTAGCATTATCGTCTTGAAAAATGAAATTGTCCCTAAATTCGGTGCGCCAAGGCTAAATAATTTGGTTAAATAATGTTTTTAGCGTATATGGTTCCTTTCATAGTTGTCTCATTTACAATAAGTGCGGTGCAGCGACCAAAAATTATACCGCCAAAACACCACTGATCCACCTTAATAGAGAACAACACCTCTTGCAAAAGTAAGTCATTCCTATCTGCCTGGATCCGTCCAGCTCCTTTCTCGTCGACTATCACTCTGTAGGACAAATCGTGACTCGTCCGAAAAAATTACGTTCCGCCATTGTGGTAAAAGTCAGTTCCTGAGTTCTTGAGCCCATTGGCGACGTGCAGCTCTGTGTCGAGGCAAAAGCCTAGGCACTTTCTCCTTTGAATGGTACTTCTCGAAACCACCCTCCGCTATATTCGCAAAAAATTACTTCCAAGGGCTCTTACCATTATACTTCGGTCCCTTCGGGTAAAATTTGCCATATACTGGTCTTCTCTATTCGATGTCACTTTGGGTCGACCAGTCCCCGCCTTCACACAACACTGCCTGTTTTCTGGAAAATAGCTACTACGCGCCTTACTGAAGTCGGTGGAATATTCAGATGAGCCGCAATCTGGTTATTTAACAAACCCTCTTAATGTAAGACCACTATTATTGTTCGATAAACCTGAGAAATCTGACGACCTGGCATTTTACGACAAATTTATTTGATTCGTTAATACTCGATGTCAGCTTAGAACTGATTTATTTTCAAAATGGACATATTTTCGGACGAAAACAATTTTTGGCATAGTTTTATGTATGATAAGATATTTAAGGATGTATACACAAAAAATAGTCATCTTACATTGAACGCGTTAAAATTTACCAAGAGGGGCCAAGACTTTTGGAGATGTGTGTATTTAATGGATAAAAAGTAACTTACATTATCCCGATCGAGGGTATTTTCCAATGCACCATACGATTGTTGATCATTGGTTTCCATGATTTCGTTTTCCTCGTCATCGCAGTTCTGATAATTTTGAAATTCACTTCCACCGATTTCTATCAGTGCCAGAGGCATTTCTTTGAAGCTGGTAATGGTAAATCCAACACACACCACAAATATGATGGTAATTAAAGTAAATACAGCTCTCACGTGACCACCCAGCATTTCACCTATTTGTGAAAAGAATAATTAAGTTGCTATTATTGAATTAAAAACATCTTTTAAAAAGATTAAAAATGGTTTAATTTCACTCATTTATATCTAGTAGACAGTTTCTTTAAACAAAACGAAGGTGACAAGCCAATGCTTATGTTGTTTTAAAAAATAGTTTTATCAATTTTGGTCCACACAAATTTGGATAATATATAATTTAAATTAAATCAAAAATGACTATAACAGATTGTTTCATTCTGTTATTTTACATAAATCCCCTCCATATCTTTATAATAAAATAATGTATCGTTCTGATGTTCATAACCTCAATCTACGTTTTTGTGGTCGTATCTCACCTCCAATACATAATACTGCTATTTTCAGACGGTCTTTCACTTATAATATTTATGCAATGTACAAGGTTATCCCACAACATTTTAAAGAAATGTCTGTAAGTAAATTTAAAAAATTTTACAAAAAGTTTCTTCTTGACACAGCAGAGTGATAGCTACTTTTTAGAATGTTTATACTTTTTTTTCTCACTATCATTTGTGTTTATATTTATATTGTTTTTTGTACGATGTCCTGTGGCGTTGGTAATACTCAGGGCTGGTGCTTTGATCAGTATCCACTGTTCACCAGTCCTTTTTGCAGCCTTCTTTGGCACTTTTTTTTCTGAATATTTTTATATGTATAAAAAACTGGAAGTTGCAAATAAAGTTTATTATTATTATTATTATTATTATATATTTTTACCTATAAAAGTAACGTCCCAGTTGATTCCACCAAGAGCGTATCCAAAAAATCCTCCCAAACCTGCCATTACAGTGAAAGTGCTTAAACCACGAGCGTGATCCTCTAAAACAAAAAATCACTTCACAGCTTATGATATAGTTTTATAACTATCTAGGTATACCAGATAATGTCAGAATGAAAACAATCGATTTAAAACAACGTAAGAAGTTTTAATGATTTTGTTTACGACTATAGGAAGTTATTCCGAATCCCAATCGAAGCGGAAATTTTTCAAATTTAATTTTTACATTTTTAAAGAAAGATGAAGTGAAAGGTATCAAAACTAAATCAATTTTGGTTTTATTAAAATTTTTGAAATAAATGATCGTAAACCTTATATTTCTAAATTGTGTAAAGCCGTATATCGTGGACTCTTACATACCTGGAACAGTAACATCCAGCAAATAAGCCCTAGCTGGACTCTGACAGGCGTCTGCGTCAAAATCTAGTAAAACAGTTCCCAAAATTGTAAAAAGAACGCCCCAAGGATGTGAGTTATTGTATGGAATAAAAGAATCAATATTTTCGCTATTATTTACTATTGTTTCGTTTATAGTAAAGGTACTATTATCATCGTTAGTGCTAAGTTGATTTTGCTGAGCTGTAGTCCTATGGGAAGACACGCGATGGTAGGATAGACTGGGTGGTCTTGGATCGCCCATTGAGTAGCCTAAAGATTCTCCGTTTGGAACTAAAATTAAACCTAAAAAATGTAAAGTTTTACATCATAAATTAAAAAACATTTAACATGTACACAAATTATTCTCAATTTTAAAAATGAAAATCGAGTAAGGTGTAATATATTTTTTTACAACTATAGCACAAAATTACACTTTCTCAACTAAGGTTGGTTTAGAAATGATGTCTAATGACAGAAAGTAATACTGCCGTGTTAACGAAAAACGCCTTAACTACTTTTTTTTTGTAATTGAGATATGTCGGCCATATGAAAGATCAAGCAATTTTATACCTAAATGTGAAGAAAAAATGCCTTATCTTGCTTTAATTTTTCTGTGATTCTTACGCATCGAGGCTCTTTAGCGCAGTACCTTTGAGTGTGTCCGAATACTTGACACTTTTTGCAACTAGCTAGGATTTTCTGAGAGGTACAAATTCTACGTAGATAATTTCTCTAATTCTATATATTTTTTCAACAGTTTCTTCGTGTTAAAATGTAAGCGTGGACATATTCGTTGGTTCTTTGGTCCTATATTTTAGTTTCAGCCACGACTTTTCAAATCACTAAGTATATTTTTCGGTTCGAAAGAGTGGTGCAGTTTATATATACTATTACTTTAATGTATTATGCTTGTGCTCATATGAGTACTAAGTAAAGTGTACTTTTGTTCTGTTAAGAGCAATCCAGTCCCTTCTGACGTCACACCGCACGAATCTCACGACCTCCCCTTAAAGTATTTGGAACCTTGTTCGCTACATAAATTTGGCAATGTTTTGTGTCGTACGCTGAAGGATAATCATATTACGTAGGGTCCGATTACAATTCAGGTATAATTCGTTGGCTATCGCCGCCTACTGGGGACGAATGTAGGAATACTATTTTTAAACCAAACAACTCAAATATTTTTTATTTATAGTTATAGATGATATACAGGGTGTCCCGAAATTAGACGGTCATATTTTAACAGCGTAATCTACATCCTAAAATAGTAGATACAAATATAGGTCCGAAAATTTTTCTTTTCCGAGATACAGGGTAGGGTGGAGTGAAAAAAAAATTTTTTTTCCTTAGCCTGGGAGTGTAATTTGTAGCCTATAAAAAAAGAAAATTTTTGAAAAAAAAAATTTTTTTTACTCAACGTCTTGAGGTGGCCCACTGATTTTTTAAATTAAATTTAAATTAAAATTCTTTTGAATAAAAAAAAAATTTTTTTTGGCTTGTAATCTTCAAATTTATCTGGAGCGTCCTCTTTCTTGCTAATTATCAGTTATGAAAAAAATTTTTGTGGTCATTATTGTTGTTTTTAAAAAAAATCCAAAATAGTAACATGCTTTTCTGAGGCAATAGAGCGAATTTCGAGTTGAACAAATTTGTTTATTTTTAGATAAATTTGAAGATTACAAGCCAAAAAATTTTTTTTTTCATTCAAAAGAATTTGAATTTAAATTTAATTTAAAAAATCAGTGGGCCACCTCAAGGCGTTGGGTAAAATTTTTTTTTTTTTAATTTTCTTTTTTTATAGGCTACAAATTACACCCCCAGGCTAAGGAAAAAAAAAATTTTTTTTTGCTCCACCCTAATACAGGGCGTTAAAGGTGAAGTCCTGATACCACACTTTTGTAAATATTTTCTAAACGTTTAAAGATAATTAGGTAAAATTTGTTACAAATACTTACCTTTTTACGCTTCATTTATTGGACTAAACCCCAGTTATTGATCATCTTCTTAGGTGGGTAAATTAGGGGGAGCTTGGGGTAAAATTGCCGTGTGTGTCTGTGTGTCTATATCCACCATAACTCATGAACCGATACACAGAAAAACACTAAATTTTAAACTTAAGTTTTATTTCGGCCTGACGTGAAATGATAAGATTTTGGACAAAGTCGGAACATCTGGGGGGGTACTTTATGGGAGGCCGTTTTTATATTTTATTGAATATATCTGTTATTTATGTTTGGAGAAGAAAATTATTCAAATAAAAGTTACTTCTAATATTATTATCGATAATTTTTGTTTTATGTCAAAATTTCCTGAAATGGCCCGTATTCGAGAAATTTGACTAAATGTGAAAAATTCTAAACTAAACTAAAAGTTGTTTGCGATATCAATCTCTATAATTTTTGTTTATACATGATTTTTCTAAAATGGACCGTAATGGAAAAATTGTAGAAAAATTGCTAAATTTAAATTTTTCAGTATTTTCGTTTTCAATGAATAACTATAGAAAAATGTTTCGAGGTAGATAGATGTATGTGGAAAATGTATATATTTAGTTTATCCTCTAAACATTTATAGAGGTACTGCAATAAGTTGTACAAAATAACCAGAAAAAGCCTATAATAACTAGATAGGAAAGTCATGTGTTAGACACATCAGATTTTTTGACTATAAAATTTGGAAAACCAATATTTTCTGTATAATAAAGCTACATTTGTTGCATCTCGCTAGGACGCGCCATTTTCAAGAGAAAAGCATGTTACCTTATTTGAAAGTGTCAACAATAATTAGTAGGTCTGTAGAATTAGAAATGTTATTTTTTTTAACTTTGAAAAACCGGTAACTAAAGAAATTTTAGAAAATATTTCATCTGGACTTCACTTGTAACACCCTGCATCTCTAAAACGAAACGTTTTCGGACCTATGGTTATATTAACTTTTACTCCTATTTTTAACCGACTTCATAAAAGGAGGAGGGAGGTTCTCAATTCGTCGCAATATTTTTTTTTAATTTTTTTTATGTATGTTCAGCGATAATTCTTTAACACGGTGTCCGATTTCAATGATTCTTTTTTTGTTAGAAAGGGGGTACTTCAGGGGTGGTTCCATATAAGTTTAGTCAAAGTCTAATAATTGGGCCCATGACAAAATTCTCAAACGCTTCATTTTTTATGTATGTTTAGCGATAATGCTTTACCACCTTGTCCGATTTATATGATTCTTTTTTTGGTAGTAAGGGGGTACCTCAGGGGTGATCCTATATAAATTTGGTTAAGATGTGGTGACGGCAGCTGCACGTTTTTGAATTCGGTTTTTTTTTTAATTTTTAAATTCTAATACTTGTAGGATGTAGATTACGCTGTTAAAATATGACCGTCTAATTTCGGGACACCCTGTGTATTGGAAATTCGAAATAATAGTTTTGACGTAGCGATGTTTTTCTAATTGTAATCGGACCCTAGGTATATGGATACGAAAAGTGATGAATTGGAGATAGGTAAATTGTATTTATTGTATTAAAGGAACAACAAATATAAGTACAATTAAATAAGTATATTAATATAACAATTTTTTAAAGTCTGCATTAAAAAATTTTTTTTCACATAGATTATTAAATTTAAAAAATAACTATTAAAACACGAAATGTTAATTTTTTCTCTTTTACAACACAAAATATACAATACTGTTGAATCAAAATTTTCTCTTGGCAGCTGGTGGTTTTTGTGACGCAACAATTATGATGCTTTGCATCTCATGAATTAAAGCTAATTCTCTTTCAATCTTAAGGTGATCATACCCCTTATAATTTTCGGACAAGAATATCTTAAAATATTTAAATTTTGGCAAAATAAATTAGGCAATAATATCTATAATCTGCATATATTTTAATGTTTTAATTCCTTCCAGTTTCCCAAAAAAACTAAAGGGGCTTTAATTTTGAAATATAATGAAAATAAATGCATTCCTCGACAGCACTATTCTTAATATAATCCCCAAATTTAAGCTCCTAATGTCTTGTTAATGATTTCTTAAAATTCGCCAAAATTAGTGGCTAAAACGCTTCGTTAAGTGCTATCTTCTGGTGTAAACTGGTGTAAATTATTGCAAGAAACGAATAATGACAGAGTGTACGATACGATAGTTACAAGCGCGTTACACTGTTTTCCACTCAATTTATTAAAAACAATAATAAATTAGGGTGTTATTTTTTTTCTCTGAAGCTATTGGTTTTGGGAAAAAAATTCAAGAATAAAACAAGGATTTCATAAAAATTCATCTCGAAAAAAAGTTTTGATATGAAATAAAGTAAGTGTTGCTAATTTCACCCCCCTATAATGCAACAGAAATATTGAAAAAGTACCCGTGGTTAGTCCTTTGCGATTACAGAATTTCAAGTTTCTAGCTTTATTGAAATTTTAGAAAAAAAAAATAAAAACTCAATTTTAGTCACCACCTTTTAAGGGTGATATCTCGAAATGGGGTGGGCTGAGGAAATTTTGTTATAGGAAAGACCCATCTTAATTTTATACGAGCAATCAGTTCCTGAATTTTGTCGCATGTATTTAGAAACATCCTGTATATTACACATTTTTTAAGCGTGCAAAATTCTTGACAATCTCTTTTCCCTAATTGGCACATGTCGTATTTCTCTAGGATTTACTGACTCTGGCAGCAAACAAATAAAATAGAAATTTGTCAGCTGTGCATTTTTGCCTTCCAGAATTTTTCATTTCATAAATTAACTAAAAACTAAATTAAACAAAAACCTAACAACGCCTCAACAATAAACTAAGACGATCACAATAATTTCGCACCTCTTCAAAAACAACTACCTATTTTTCGACACAGGAATTAACAAATTTAACTAAACAGCAGCTACCCTTTTAACCACGGGCTTCATAGACTAGCAGCGTTGCCATATTCACTTGTATCATTGTTTTAATAGAATTATTATCGGAATGAAAACTATGTTAATCTTCGGTCCTGTTTAAAATTGGTAATCTTTTTGAAAAAAAGTCATTTAGAAAATAGTTAAGATATTTGTTATAGAATGACGGTAAAGAGCCAAAAAATTAAATTTGTTAAAAAGTTGAAATTTTTGTTGTTTTTCTTTAAAAATATAAGTTTTTCGCGGTTTAGCGAAATTCTTGGTTCATTTTTACAACGATTGGCCTGAACCATTTTTTTTACAATTTTTTTTAACTGCCTCAAATGTAAAATTGATTTTTGGCAGAGGAGCGCCCGTCATGTTTGCTCTTAACGCATTCTATATTCTGGTTCTTCTGGAACGTTAATAAATTTAACAT